TTTTTTTTTTTTAGGTTTTTCGAAATTGTATTTTGATATTTTGTGATTTTATATATATATTTTTTTTGGTTTAGCTGTGGCTTGTTACCACTATTGTTATTCGTTTCATGGTTTCATTAATATATCCACTTAAGTGATGATTTGAATGTTCGACTATGTAAAACACGTTTCATTCGATTTGCCATGTGGTTTTCATGAAATTATAACAAATCGTATTAGAAATAGTTCATTTTTACGGTTTTTTAAAATCTAGTTTACTATTTTTTTGTTGGTTCCGAAAAACCCATGTTTAGATTTTTTTTCTATTCATCAGCAGTAAAGGGTTAAAAGATGCCGGATTAATTTAAAACTATGATACTTACTAAAGTTCTTCATTTCCAATAGAAGATTAGCTGCTTCTGTTTTACCTGAAAGAGTGTGTGATTATAAATATTGAGATGATTTCAAATTTAAAAATGTGTAGCCAAATTACTTTCTCGAACAGCTAAATCATGTGAAGTTTCATTTGCTTTATTTCTATCGAATATATTTGCACCATTTTCTAATAACACTTTAATCGTTTCAATGTGACCTGAAAAGATTTTCCAACAAAAAGAATTTCAGTGCTGTGGCATTGCTTGATGTATCAACGTCGAAAGTTAGAAAGAATCTAAAAAGTTCAACGAAACGTTATTTGTATGTGATTTTCAATTATTTTGAACTGTCAGGCTGACTCAAACTGATCTTCCCTTATTAAACATAACATAAACTCGGGTGTCTTACATTTGTAATTAATAAATTGAAAAAAATGTTCAGTTACCATTGTGAGCAGCCCAAAGAAGTGGCGTATCGTTTTCAACATCTCTAAAATTCACATTAGCACCATTTTTGATTAGAGTTTTGACTCTATCTGTATAACCTAGAAAAAATTAAAAGTAAGACAGACTTTATACTGAGCTGACTATTCATTTGAAATGAGATGAAATAGCATGCTATTTGGGACATTTTGATTTTACGACGAGAACAATTTGTATCTTCAACGTAGATATAGAGTTATTTTTTGGTATTTTAGAAATCCTATTTAGATCTAGGGGGTAGACACGTGGAATAGGATTAGACTTTTTAGTGTAAAAATTCGAGAAATTAAAGTGGAATAGAGAATTCAGTAGCTGGATTCACATGGATTCACTAATCCCGTGTATGGAATAGCGAAAATGGGTTAATTCAAAGTTTTTGTAATCGATAGTACAGAATTTGATAAAAGCATTGAACTTGTTTTGAGATAGTAATTTGTTCTTTTTTGAAATATTTTTTAGTTCAAAAGTCGATTACAAATTTAAAAAACAATAGATACTCTTTCTCAAAATTTTATTGATGAAAAAAATAATTTTAATTATCAATAACAAAATGTCATACTCCAGTATCGATAAATAAGTTTTCAACAAAGTGAATAGCGGCGAAATGTGACATCACATTTGACAATGAAATGACGGATTGGTGGAATAGTAGGATTAGTGTTTTTATATTGGAATCATGGTTTAATCGTTTGTGTCTCCCCCCTAGATTTAGATATAGAGTTCTTTTTTGGCATTTGCCTATTTTTTTACTTTTACTTTTCATGTGCATATTATTCAGACATTTATATTATAGATATTTTGATGAGAGTGTCAAATTACCATTTTTAGCAGCATTAATTAGCTGTTGGTCTAAATTTGAAATTGCGTGCACTTCGAAACACAATATAAATAAAATAAACAAATATATTGCTTTCATTGTCACAATAAAACACACAATACTATTAATTATTTTATACAGATTTTCAAATAAAGTTGAAAAAACTTTTATTGAGGAGTAAATACTGAATTGTGCAAATTGTTCGAATTTCTGTAATAGTAAAAATACTTTCGTTCGCACTGGAATATGCGAGTCTTCTGATTTTCAACTTTACACTAGACGTGATTTGTCATAAAATATGGCTTTCATATTGATAAAAAATAACAACTGTATATGCATGTTGCGATGTATATGCTTTTAAAATATGAAACAATCTTTCGATTAGCTGTAAACAAGTGAGATTATGTTATCACATTTCAGTCATCATTTCACATCCTGACAATATTTTGAGATTTCACATCCTGACGAGTTATCTGCCAAGAATATCTTATTTGCATGGGCGGAATAATCACCAAATTTCAAGATCACAGATAAAATATCGAAAGTTGATAGCCAATCGACGTGAACAACAAAATAACGAGATATTCTTTAATCAGTGAATGAAGTCATAACAATCGATGGTTTTTCAAATTGGTCCAGCAATCATGGAGTCATGAATTATAATCGTAACGCAAAGTTTGTCCTTGATAACGTTTATTTTTTTCAAGTGAGAAATAAATATTATTGCGATTTTTTGGTAAACAATTCTATTTTTAGAGTTTTCGAATTTCAGTGAGTGGAATTAATGAGAAAAAACACAATCAAATAAAAAATTACGGACCGTTTCGCATCCTAGTTAGTGTCGATGGTAAATTTATACGTATTAATGGTATTAATTTAAAAACAAACGCCTTCAAATAAGTACGCAGATGGATTTGAATTACTTCTCGTTGTTCTTGAAACATCTCTAATATTGAGCGGGAGTCAATTATAAACATGTTGTAACAGAAATGTATAAACAACACAAAATGTTGAAGCGCAGCTTAAATTGTCGGACCATCACATGAATTTGTATGAAAATATTGACGCAACTTAATTATATTCGTACAAAATTTATGTGAATAAATATTTTCGCAATCTAATAAACAAAACCGCCCAGTGCAGTGCGCTTTACATTAAAATGCATAAAACTCTCTATCACACACGCAATCACATGAATTATCGTTAATATGTTCTCAGCGAGTGATGCATTCAATAAAATACCGCAGTAGGTGATCAGAACCATCATATTTTATGATGCATAATTTTTGAAAAAAACTATTAGATAAATCTCTAACCATATCAATATGTTGTAATAATTTTGAACTTATTAACTGAGTTTATCTACGTACATCACTATTCGAAATGGTATCAGCGTAAAATTTAACGGAATAAAATTCAGAACGCTGTCTACCTATACAGTTTAATCGGACATCACTATATTGATCATTGAAAATATCGGAACAAAGTAACAGATAAATCAATAAATGAAATGCATACGATATGTGGAAGTGCATAGACAGTAAAGTATCGGAATTAATTATGGACAGGGAACAATGTATAGGCTACACACTATTAATCAATCAATCAATGTTGCTTTGCATAAAATATAATTCAAAGCGGCGTCATGCAGTATAGACGAGAACACAGCCGACAAAATAGACAAAAACTATATAAATTTATGTGACGCACATTTTCTATTTGTCGCGTAACGAACGAACATGTTTAAATCGTGCTTATCTTGTATGCATTCAACTAGCCATTCCATAAATTCTCTCCATATTTGTGATTAACAAATGGCACAGAGACAATTGCACAAAAGATATGAGCATTGTTGCACGATAAACACAACACATTGGGATAAAAAAAAGTTTATTTTTAACGCCAAAGTCGCTTTGTTTGAGATTTGTCGCCCGCAACGCCATCTCTAT